CCCTCTGTCAACACCGGGCCTTTCAGTGAACTAGTTATTATTTTCATTATTATTATTATTACTATTTTATTTTTATCGCTGAAGAATCCAGAGATGATTTCAAGGATGTACATAGCTAGGAAGGCTGAAGCGAGTAATTACCCCAGAAGAAATTCTGCGTCGGATCATTTTTCGAAATGTTTCCCGTTAAAACCAATTATTATTATCATTTTTATCATCATTATTATTCATCATCATAATTATTACATTAATTACCATTATTATCATTAAAGTAAAAATAATAAACCCCATGTTAAGGTGATAGAATTAAAACAAGACACTTGAAGAACTTTGAAGAACTTTCTGTGATTCTCCGATTTAAATTCATAAAGTAAAAAATCCTTAAAATTCTGAAAGATATTGAAAATATTAATATTTCAGAAGGAATATGCGCGCAAAGTTAATTGGCATAAATCTCGGATTAAGTTCTAAAAAAAAACTTAAATAGATATATTGTAAATTGAGCATTTTTAATTTGAGCATATTTTTGTAAAGGCAAAATATTTTACTTTTAGAAACTGAGGAGTGATTTCGAGGATTAATCAAGGATTGAACAGGGATCAATGATATAAATAAGATCCTCAAATGATCTGAGATTGAACAAGGATTGAACAAGATTGTCTAGGATGGAGCAAGAAAAAACTTACATATTTTAAACATTGACCTTTTTTCTAGGTTGGCAAACTTTTCTAGGAAAAATGTGTTTTATGAACATATTAATATATCATTATTGTATAAAGATTTCAATATTGTCTTTATTAAGGTTTTTTGATCGCTCATAAAGATAACATTATATAATTCCAGATGAGCGAATTTGAAAAATTGGCTTTAAAAATGGCAGCCTGGACATTCACGGAATAACAAAATATCAAGAAAAGGTGGGTGTGGGATATTTAACATTTGATGTTATTTTAATTATTATTATTATTGTCCAGGGGGGCCAGGGGGAGGGCTTAGTTGACTTTGTTTATTCCCCTACTGCGCCCTCTCCTGTTTACGCCCCTGACTGCCATGTATAGATATAAACCCCTCCTTTCACGCACACATTTAACTTCAATGTCTCGCCTTTCAGTATTTATTTATAAAAATAATTCATTGTTTGAAAAAGAAGATTTCAGATTTTGAGTTTCTCGGCTTTCTATACTTTGTTTTCTTTTTCCTTGTCAAACTCCCCTTTCCTCTTAACTCCTATAATATCCCCTCTTGCCCCACAATTTTTGAAGAAAGGGGCGCGTGCCCCAGTATCCCCACTCGGCACTTCCCAGTCTGTTAGCTACGGATCTTTGAACTTTTGAAGTCGTTTACCGTAATTTTCCGGACATGTCGTCTTCTGTAAGTATCTATCTGACTGCTGTCTGCTATATTTACATCTGATATACCAAACCAAATATATCAATATGCTACGGGAGCGTGATTGTCCGTCAATTATAAACTCCTGAATACGCCCAGTTGAATTGAAAAGTTTAAGATTTTAGCGTAGAACGCAATCATTTTTAATGGTTTTAGTAATATTTTGCAAATGTTTGTCCCTAGAAAATATATTTGTAATTTTATTTTTGTCTAACAACCATATCTTCGCGTGTTTTAGGGGAAAATGGGGAAGAAAAAGGGTCGGCGTCAATCTGACCCGTCCAGAGACGAATGCGAGTCGACTGACGAAGAAACGGTCGGATTAGAGATAGAAGTACAAAGCAGTTGTCCGCACACAGGTTTCATTGTTGAAATGTTTAGGGCCACGTATATATTATCAGAAGTAGTAATATAATAGGTCTGTGTTTGTCAAAATATACGCTGTTTAGTCCCAAACGGTTCCCTCTCATTACTTTTGTACACGTCTTCCATTTTGAATATTTTATGACCTTTGTGCATACTTGAAAACGATATATGAAAGTTTCATTTAGGAAATTGATGTATTTCGTTTTTCTATTACCCCCCGGGATATATTTTTTCTAGGTCCTTGGAATTTAAAATTTTCTAGGACCTTGGGATATATTTTCTAGGACCCTGGGATATATTTTTCGAGGACCCTGGGATATATTTTTCTCGGAACCTGAGATGTATTTTTCTGGGATATATCTTTCTTGGACCCTGTGATATATTTTTCGAAAATTTATTAGATTTAATAGATAAAGATAATATTTGCTTGTATCAATGTATTGTATANATAAAACATTTATTAGAAAATAAATCTTGTATCAATAATTTCCTATTTCCTTCGAAAATTACTTAGTTATTTATTTACTCTTAACTCCTTCTGTTGAATATTTCATAAATCTTAATCATATTTACTTCAGGAAAGGTCATATGAAGAAGGACTGTATAAATGGTTGTAAAAACCTAATAATTAGTAAATTACTATCTATTATTTCCAATTCCCTTCCATGTAATGTTGGATGCTAATGATTTTTTTCTAGGCAAAGCTGTATCTTTGGGTTGTATAAAGAAGAATCTAAAGATAGCCTGGGTCCGTGTCGGTCAGTGTGCTGTGTGTCTACGGGAGAAGAAGATGAGTAGCAGGCCGGCCACCCTACCCAGGGGGAAAACAGGTTCAGAGATACATATTTTATTTCTAGTTTTGCTATTAAATGGAAAGAGTTTTTTAGGAATTTAAATTGTTGATTTTTTTTTTAAAAGATTAACGCGGGAAAGTATTGCTTTTTTTTTTGGGGGGGGGGGGATTTTTTTATGGGAATATATTCCTCAGCTATATAAACCATTAATTATCACAAGCTAATCTCTGGAAAAATATTTTTTCTTGTCGTCCTGTATCTGTGACCAATTAAAAAAGTAACATTATAAAATTTGTATTGAATTATCTATTCGAATAATTTCAGGAGCAAAGAAAACTCTACAAGATGTCAAGGTGAACCGTCAAAATACATCCAGTTTCATTTCTTTTACTTATTATTTGGTCATTTTTATATCTTCATTAAATGGGGAAAATATTTTTAGAATCAGCCTTTTCTCTTGCTTAGAGGAGGGGTTACAGAATGTTTTTTTTTTAATATTCGCTAGAACTTTTTTTATTTTAAGGACTTCATTTAACTTTTAGTGGAAAATGAAAATTTTATTTAAATATCAAAATACAATACTTACGTTGATTCTCAATATTTAAAGTTACTTTAAACTTTTAACTCTGACGTTTTTACTTTTCCGTTTCCTGTAAAATGTATTATTAACTTTGGATTGATTAGAATGAGCAGCTTGAGAGAGCCCGTCAGGAGCAGATAAACGCTGCTCAAAAACTAAAACAGCTTCCTAGCAAGGAGGATTCAGTTAAAGAAGGCGTTGCGGATACCAAAAACGGTGTGGCGGATACCAATAAAAGTGTGGCGGACACCAATAACGGTGTGGCGGATCCTGCTACGTCTAGTGTATGGCTGTGTTTGAAGTGTGGAAGCCAGGCTTGTGATGCCAAGGATAAAGATCATGCTCTCACTCATTATAAAACTCCCAGGTCAGATAAGAAAAGATAATTAATTAAAGGGACTGTGTGTGATTTATTGAGATGAAGTCTCTACAATTAATTTAACTTTTAGAGAGAAAAAAGTATATTTTTACTTAACTTGAAGGTGCATGTGGTTTCATTGTAACTGAAATAACGTCGAAAGTCCATTTATTGTGTTAAATAGTTAATACCCAAACAAGAAAAAGTTGCATTTAAAAGTGTTTTTCTAGCTATCCATCCATTCTTGACGAGACCGCCACAGTGTTAAAAATCTCTTAAAACACAAATATGAGAAAGGTTTTTTAGAATCCAACAGGCAGTTGACAGATTATCTAGGGTATATGTTTTCTTGAAAATTCGTCCCCCCATAATCATTTTTACCC